ACACAAGATTGGTGAAGTAATTATGGGCAGAGTTGTGAATGGCTTTATACATTTTTGTTACTGTTTTTAATTTGTTTTGAACGCTGCTCTGTGTCTCTCTTTGGAGGCAGCCATCTTGGTAAAGGCAGGACTATGCTTCCTCATGTCAGAGCTGCTCCCCTAATGACTGGTGGAATAATAATGAAGAAGCAGCAGGAAAAGGTGGAGGAACCACATAAAGGATGAAGCAGATGCAGGGGGGATCCTTGCACTGCAGGTCCTCAGGCAGGGGCGTAGATAAGGGGGGGTCAGGGGGGTCTGAACCCCCCAGAGGACAGCTGCCACCATCACCAAACACACTGCTTCTTACCGGATCATGTTGACCCCCAGTTACGGTTGGGACAAAATGCGCTGTATGAACCGGGAGTGCCAGGCACATAAACCTCAACTTCCTCAATAGGGGCCCCAGTGAAGACAAGGCTCTGGATGCACAGCACTGCTATAGATGTCTCAAAATGTCCGGGAGGAGAAGATAGAAAAAGTCCTCCATCATCACCAAACACACCGCCTCTTACCAGATCGTGTTGTCCCCCAGTTACGGTTGGGACAAAATGCACTGTATGAAACCCAAAAAGCAAGCCGTGGATCTGAGTACTCTTTGATTCCAAATCTTCACCTCAAAATGAGCTACGAGGCTCATTGCACAGGGAGCGCATTGATATTTTTAGAGAAGGCATTTCCAGAAAAAGGTCAAACTTTCATGGCACCGCTTAGGCACAATAAACATTTCTAGATGTTCTCTGTACACTTTAATATAAAATCAAAACACTGCTTAGCAATGGTAGGAAGCCTTGACATGACTAGGATATGGCCCTGCCAAAAAGCAGCCTGCCCCAGCCTGTTCATGGATTACACTCCTATCTGATAATTTGGTGCTCATGTCAGTTGCAGTCATCTGTCACCAGTGCAGCAAAGCCAAGAGGTGTGAACCGGAGTGCCAGGCACATAAACCTCAACTTCCTCAATAGGGACCCCAGTGAAGACAAAGCTCTGGATCCACAGCACTGCTATAGATGTCTCAAAACAGCCGGGAGGAGAAGATAGAAAAAGTCCTTCACCAAACACTCTGCTTCTTACCGGATCATGTTGACCCCCAGTTACGGATGGGACATAATGTACTGTATGAACTGGGAGTGCCAGGCACATAAACCTCAACTTACTCAGTAGGGACCCCAGTGAAGACAAGGCTCTGGATCCACGCACTGCTATAGATGTCTCAAAATGGCCGGGAGGAGAAGATAGAAAAAGTCCTTCACCAAACACTCTGCCTCTTACCGGATCATGTTGACCCCCAGTTACGGATGGGACATAATGCGCTGTATGAACTGGGAGTGCCAGGCAACTTCCTCAATAGGGACCCCAGTGAGGATAAGGCTCTGGAACCACAGCACTGGTATACATGTCTCAAAACGGCCGGGAGGAGAAGATAGAAAGAGTCCTTCACCATCACCAAACACACTGTCTCTTACCGCATCATGTTGACCCCCAGTTACGGATGGGACAAAATGCGCATTATAAACCAGGAGTGCCAGGCACATAAACCTTGACTTCCTCAGTAGGGACCCCAGTGAAGACAAGGCTCTGGATCCACGCACTGCTATAGATGTCTCAAAACGTCCGGGAGGAGAAGATAGAAAAAGTCCTCCACCATCACCAAACACACTGCCTCTTGCCGGATCATGTTGACCCCCAGTTACGGATGGGAAAAAATCCGCTGTATGAAGCGGGAGTGCCAGGCACATAATCCTCGACTTCCTCAATAGGGACCCCAGTGAAGACAAGGCTCTGGATCCACAGCACTGCTATAGATGTCTCAAAACAGCCGGGAGGAGAAGATAGAAAAAGTCCTTCACCATCACCAAACACAACGCCTCTTATCGGATCATGTTGACCCCCAGTTACGGATGGGACAAAATGCGCTGTAAGAACTGGGAGTGCCAGGCAACTTCCTCAATAGGGACCCCAGTGAAGACAAGGCTCTCCCTGGATTCCCGGGAATCACACACCAAGGACTGGTCACTTTGAGGATCCATGGTCACCTCAGATATTTATCGATTCTTTACTGAAGCTTGTTCTTTTCTTTTTTTTTACATTATTGTGGACTTCTCTCCTCTTCACAGCAGACGCAACCCAATGTCAAGGTATTTCTACCACTACTATACATGACAGCTTCCTAGCTGGTTGCTAAGGAAGCGGTGGGTGCCGGCACTCGCAGCATCGTTGGCAACCAGTGACATCACCTGGCCACATTTCTGGTCACTCAGCCTTTGCTTAGCAGCGGGGGTTTAGGAGATGTCATTCAGCATCAGACAGTGATCAGTCAGTGATGGGACTGAATGTGTCCATCGGTCAGCATGATTTTTTTTTTGTTTCCTTTCAGGAAGCATCTGGTGTCAATCACCATGATTGACCTCCCTGTCGAGGTACCACCCACGTGTGGAGGGCAGGTGGCCTGGTATGGTTCAGGAAGAGAAGGGGGGGTGCAGGCTCAAATAAGGGTTTGGTGTGGTGTTTAAGAGGGGGTTCCCTTGGTGTGACCAGTCCTAGGTGTGTGATTCCGAGGGCGCGGTGTCTGGTATGGCTCTGGGAGGGATGCCTGTGGTAGGCCTCTCAGTTGGAGTTGGTTTTTGTGCTGTTTATTGTTTATTAAGTATGCTTTTCAAAATGATAAAATCTTCCATTCCTTAATTTCAATTATTTCTGATATTATTTCCCAGATATGGATCCAGTCGGGTGAATATGATACTTTACTTCTATCGTTTTGGGTTTTTCAAATTTTATTTTAATTTTTTTAGAACAGTGACTATTTGTTATGAAATTGGTCATTTAGGTCTGGATTTAGGTGACACCTCCAGATTCGGCCCTTTGCTTGCTTTTTTTATGGCCCCTGGGGTATTATTTTATCCACTGATACTAACAATGGGGCATAATTCCCCCCACTGACACCAACGATGGGGCACAATTCCTCCCAATGACACTAACAATGGGCCCAATGACACCGCTGATGGGTCACAATTCCTCCCAATGACACCAACGATGGGGCACAATTCCTCCCAATGACACTAACAATGGGGCCCAATGACACCGCTGATGGGTCACAATTTCTCCCAATGACACCAACAATGGGGCCCACTGACACCAATGATGGGGCATAATTCCCCCTACTGACACAAATGATGGGATGCTATTCCTCCATATGACACCAATGATGGGTCACAATGTTTGGGTAGGCAGCTGTCATTTCCCAGAAGAGCCTACATTGTTCTCTGTACAGCACTGCGGTCTATGTCAGAGCTATATACATGTATAATAATAGTGTGTGACTGTGGGGGAGGGGACATTAGAGTGTAAGCTCCTCTGGTGCAGAGACTGATGTGACTGTGGGGGAGGGGACATTAGAGTGTAAGCTCCTCTGGTGCAGAGACTGATGTGACTGTGGGGGAGGGGACATTAGAGTGTAAGCTCCTCTGGTGCAGAGACTGATGGGACTGTGGGGGAGGGGACATTAGAGTGTAAGCTCCTCTGGTGCAGAGACTGATGTGACTGTGGGGGAGGGGACATTAGAGTGTCAGCTCCTCTGGTGCAGAGACTGATGTGACTGTGGGGGAGGGGACATTAGAGTGTCAGCTCCTCTGGTGCAGAGACTGATGTGACTGTGGGGGAGGGAACATTAGAGCGTAAGCTCCTCTGGTACAGAGACTGATGTGACTGTGGGGGAGGGGACATTAGAGTGTAAGCTCCTCTGGTACAGAGACTGATGTGACTGTGGGGGGGGGACATTAGAGTGTAAGCTCCTCTGGTACAGAGACTGATGTGCCTGTGGGGGAGGGGACATTAGAGTGTAAGCTCCTCTGGTACAGAGACTGATGTGACTGTGGGGGAGGGGACATTAGAGTGTCAGCTCCTCCGGTGCAGAGACTGATGTGACTGTGGGGGAGGGGACATTAGAGTGTAAGCTCCTCTGGTACAGAGACTGATGTGACTGTGGGGGAGGGGACATTAGAGTGTCAGCTCGTCCGGTGCAGAGACTGATGTGACTGTGGGGGAGGGGACATTAGAGTGTAAGCTCCTCTGGTACAGAGACTGATGTGACTGTGGGGGAGGGGACATTAGAGTGTCAGCTCGTCCGGTGCAGAGACTGATGTGACTGTGGGGGAGGGGACATTAGAGTGTAAGCTCCTCCGGTGCAGAGACTGATGTGACTGTGGGGGAGGGGACATTAGAGTGTAAGCTCCTCCGGTGCAGAGACTGATGTGACTGGCTCAGAGATCTCTGTGCAGCGCTGCGGTATGTGTCAGAGCCATATAAATGAGTAAACTATATCAGATATTTAATTTGTAAGGAATGTATTGGTGAACGCTGTTATTAGTTTTCTTCTATAATGGAATCTCTGGGATTGGCCAATCATCAGGTCGCACATTTGTATTATTATTATTATGGCGAATGGCGAGTGGGGAGGGATCATGTGATGAAGGCGCCCTGCTTCTCCTTGTCGTACTGGGTGCTGAATTCGGGGTGTCTGCTCAGGTTTTATGGGGTGTGCAGGAACTGGCAGTTCGTGTTAATTGAATCCTGACGCTGATGTGACCACGCCAAATGTCATCTCCATTAATATCAGCAGTATCAATTATCTCTCTAATTATAGGATGTTCCTTTCCTTTCTGGAATAGGGACCCATTGTTCTTGCCAAGCTCTGCATTCCCCGGGGCCAGCAACCGGATGACATCTTCCCCGCATCCGGAGCTCAGCATAGAGCAGAAGAATCTGTTCAGAAATCACTACTTACATCCATCATTGCTGAGTACCCAGCAGTGGAAATTTTGTCTGTTCCATTTTATAGCTCCAACTCTACAGAATGACATTGAACAGGATTCTGATAGACGTGCAACAGATATTTTGTATTAAATCCTCTCTCCAGCTTCCCCTTCAGTCTTGCACAGGTGTACCGGCTCCTCCCCTTCAGTATTGCACAGGTGAACTGGCTCCTCCCCTTCAGTCTTGCACAGGTGTACCGGCTCCTCCCCTTCAGTCTTGCACAGGTGTACCGGCTCCTCCCCTTCAGTATTGCACAGGTGAACTGGCTCCTCCCCTTCAGTCTTGCACAGGTGTACCGGCTCCTCCCCTTCAGTCTTGTACAGGTGTACCGGCTCCTCCCCCTCAGTCTTGCACAGGTGTATTGGCTCCTTCCCTTCAGTTTTGCACATCTATACCGGCTCCACCCCTTCAGTCTTGCACTGGTGTACCAGCTCCTCCCCTTCAGTCTTGCACAGGTGTATCGGCTCCTCCCCTCCAGTCTTGCACAGGTGTACCAGCTCCTCCCCCTCAGTCTTGCACAGGTGTATTGGCTCCTTCCCTTCAGTCTTGCACAGGTGTACCGGCTCCTCCCCTTCAGTATTTCACAGGTGTACCGGCTCCTCCCCTTCAGTCTTGCACAGGTGTACCGGCTCCTCCCCTTCAGTATTGCACAGGTGTACCAGCTCCTCCCCCTCAGTCTTGCACAGGTGTATTGGCTCCTCCCCTTCAGTATTTCACAGGTGTACCGGCTCCTCCCCTTCAGTCTTGCACATCTATACCGGCTCCACCCCTTCAGTCTTGCACAGGTGTTGTACCGGCTCCTCCCCTTCAGTCTTGCACAGGTGTACCGACTCCTCCCCTTCAGTCTTGCACAGGTGTATCGGCTCCTCCCCTTCAGTATTGCACAGGTGTACCAGCTCCTCCCCTGGACTGGAATGGCTTCCTCTGATATCACCACACACTGGGAGCTTCTCACAATGTGCATTAGAAGCTGCAGCCAGTCAGATAGAGCTCCGCCTCTTTTCCTGGCTGGAGGACGTCCAGCATCATCTAGTCACTTTAGTCATTCTAGTGCTTTCCTCCCCAGCCTAACTGTCCCTGGCCCCGCCCTTTTCCTCCCCAGCCTGACTGTCCCTGGTCCCGCCCCTTTCCTCCCCAGCCTGACTGTCCCTGGCCCCGCCCCTTTTCTCCCCAGCCTGACTTCCCTGGCCCCGCCCCTTTCCCCCCCAGCCTGACTGTCCCTGGCCCCGCCTCTTTCCTTCATTGGATTTCAGTTCTTTCAACCGTGGGGGCTCAGCATCACATGTGGGCGTTACCAATGTAAATACAGCCTGCCTAGGAAACGCCCACTCCTCCAGACTGATACCCTCCTATCAAGGCATTTTAGTATTTGCATAACTCCTCCCACTTCTGACATCAGGAGGGAGGGCTCTTGAGAGGAGGACTGAGGCCAGGAAAAAAAGACAAAACTTATTTTTTAACATTTTATTTTTACTTTTACATCATTTTATATATTAAATATTACATTATAGGGTATTATATTTTATAAATACGTCTCATTGTAACAGTTCCTCAGTTTGTAACAATTTCCTGTTAGTTGTTATTATTATAAATATTATTATTATTTGAAAAGTACAACTTTGTATTTGTAGTCTGAAGGACCTCAGGATTGGTCCACCCAAGAATGATACTGCAGCTTTAAATCGACCTAAAAAATCTGACTTCTTGGCTCCACCCACTAGCATTAAATGGAAGACCCAAAGCCCCCCCCCCCCCCCCATTGTAGTTTTCTTGTATTTTACAGTACAGAGAATGCAGCAGGAGGAGTAAGACCACAGAAGCCTCCCTGAAGAAGTCAGTGCAAGTTCAGGACTACCAATTTCTCTCCGTAAATATCACTTTCGGGTAGAGTCGCCCTTTAACAGTATTTTTTTTTTCACAGTAACATTTCACATTATTTGGTGCAGTTGTCAGTGATGAGCGAATTCTTTCACAAACCCGATAAAGCAGCAAATCGGGAATTTTTTATTCATTCATTTTTTTCAACCGAAGGAAAATACCGAATTCTGGTCACTAGATGGAGCTGAGGAGCACACTTATTTCCTTTGATACTCGGCTCCCTCTAGTGGCCATAATGTGGTATTTCCCCCATTCACTCGCTTTACTTTTTCAATAAATAACATTCGATCTGCAAAGAATATAACCAGAGAACATTCAGTTTTAGCCCCATTCACACAGAACAAATTAATAACTATGCATGGTTTTAATAAATACACCCCCAAATGTTGCAAATGTGATGACAGGTCCACTTTGGTTGGATCTTATATATGCTGAAAGTCCTGTACGAGGTCTTGCTTTCCGCTTTTCGGTGTTTTTTGCCACCCTATAGTATTCCAGTTTCATTCCCACTGGTTTCATTATTCCAGCTGCCAGCATCTGGGGACTCGGAGTTCAGCTTAGATACAAGCACGTCCTCCTTCTCCATCATGTACTTGGGCAGCCTCCTCTCCATGTACTCTCCATTGTGCTCCAGAGCATTCAGAAACTTTTCCTTCTCTTCCTTCTTCTCTTTCTCTGCTTCGTTTTCCACTAGAATGCTCTCCACGTCCGCCAGCATCTCGTACGTGCGCCGACTCTCCTCCAAACACATACAGGTGCACTTTGATGCGCAATACCATACGATGACCAGCAGGGTGATCGACAGCATTCCGGAGGTCTGCAGGTGGGATAAGAAGATTGAAAGGTTAAAGGTCTGCTCCGGATATGAAAAGTAAATCTCTACAATACGGGGTTATATAGAAGCATTAGGGAGGGGACACTTTTCAGAGTTTGAGCTCAGCAGACCGTGTCACTGTGTCATATGCAAATACGGGGTTAATTATGCATAAGTAATGACTAGTGTTGGGGTACAGGGAGGGTTAGGATTACAGGGAGGGTTGGTGTTGGGGTTACCGGAAGGGTTGGTGTTGGGGTTACAGGGAGGGTTGGTGTTGGGGTTACAGGGAAGGGTTAGCTGTTAGGGTTACAGGGAGGGTTAGTGTTGGAGTAAAAGGGAGGATTAGAGTTGGGGCTACAGGGAGGTTTGGTGTTGGATTTACTGGGAGGGTTAGTGTTGGTGTTACAGGGAGGGTGAGTGTTGGGTTACAGGGAGGGTTGGTGTTGGATTTACTGGGAGGGTAAGTGTTGGGGTTACAGGGAGGGTGAGTGTTGGGGCTACAGGGAGGGTTGGTGTTGGATTTACTGGGAGGGTTAGTGTTGGGGTTACAGGGAGGGTGAGTGTTGAGGTTACAGGAAGGGTTAGTGTTGGAGTAAAAGGGAGAGTTTAGTGTTGGGGTTACAGGGAGGGTTGGTGTTGGATTTACTGGTAGGGTTAGTGTTGGGGTTACAGGGAGGTGAGTGTTAGGGCTACAGGGAGAGGTAGTTTTGGGGTTACAGAAAGGGTTAGTGTTGGAGTGAAAGTGAGGGATAGTGTTTGGGTTACAGTAAGGGTTAGTGTTGGGGCTACAGGAAAGGGTTGGTGTTGGGGTTACAGGGAGGGTTAGTGTTGAGGTTACAGGAAGGGTTAGTTGCTGGAGTAAAATGGAGGATTAGTGTTGGGGTTACAGGGTTGGTGTTGGGGTTACAGAGAGAATTAGTATTGGGGTTACAGGAAGGGTTAGTGTTGGAGTAACAGAGAGGATTAGTGTGGGGGTTACAGAGAGGGTTAGTGTTGGGGTTACAGGGATTATTAGTTCTGAGATTACAGGGAGAATTGGTGTTAGGGTTTCAGGGAGGGTTAGTGTTGGAGTAACAGGGAGGGTTAATGTTAGGGATACAGGGAGAGGTAGTGTTGGGGTTACAGGGAGGGTTGGTGTTGGGGTTACAAGGAGGACTAATGTTGGGGTTACAGGGAGAATTAGTATTGGGGTTACAGGGAGGGTTAGTGTTGGGGTTACCGGAATAATTAGTACTGGGGTGACAGGGAGGGTTGATGTTGGGGGTTACAGGGAGGGATAGTGTTGGGGTTACAGGGATAATTAGTACTGGGGTGACAGGGAGGGTTGATGTTGGGGTTACAGGGAGGGATAGTGTTGGGGTTACAGGGGGATAATTAGTACTAGGGTTACATGGATTGTTAGTGTTGGGAATACAGGAAGGGTTAGTGTTGGGGTTACAGGGAAGGTTGCTGTTAGGGTTACAGGGAGGGTTAGTGTTGGGTCACAGGGAGGGTTGCCGTTAGGGTTACAGGAGGGTTGGTGTTGGGTTTACAGGGAGGGTAGTGTAATGTTGGGGTTACAGGGAGGGTTAGTGTTGGGGTTACAGGGAGGGTTAATGTTGGGGTTACATGGATTGTTAGTGTTGGGGTTACAGGGAGGGTTGGTGTTGGGGTTACAGGGAGGGTTAATGTTGGGGTTACAGGGAGGGTTGGTGTTGGGGTTACAGGGAGGGTTAATGTTGGGGTTACAGGGAGGGTTGGTGTTGGGGTTACAGGGAGGGTTGGTGTTGGGATTACAGGGAGGGTCGGTGTTGGGGATTACAGGGAGGGTCGGTGTTGGGATTACAGGGAGGGTAATGTTGGGGTTACAGGGAGGGTTGGTGTTGAGGTTACAGGGAGGGTTGGTGTTGGGATTACAGGGAGGGTTGGTGTTGGGGTTACAGGGAGGGTCGGTGTTGGGATTACAGGGAGGGTCAGTGTTGGGGTTACAGGTTAAAGGAGGGTAATGTGGGTGGGTTACAGGGAGGGTTGGTGTTGGGGTTACAGGGAGGGTCGGTGTTGGGATTACAGGGAGGGTCAGTGTTGGGGTTACAGGGAGGGTAATGTTGGGGTTACAGGAGGGTTGGTGTTGAGGTTACAGGGAGGGTTGGTGTTGGGATTACAGGGAGGGTTGTGTGTTGGGATTACAGGGAGGGTTGGTGTTGGGGTTACAGGGAGGGTTGGTGTTGGGGTTACAGGGAGGGTCGGTGTTGGGGTTACAGGGAGGGTCAGTGTTGGGGTTACAGGGAGGGTAATGTTGGGGTTACAGGGAGGGTTGGTGTTGGGGTTACAGGGAGGGTTGGTGTTGGGGTTACAAGAAGAACTAGTGTAAGGACACCTCTAGGGTAGGCGGTGGGTTTCAGCACCAATAACTGCACACTTCCACCTTCCGGTGCTGCCATTCTCTGTATTGTTGTTTTCTATGTTAGACTTGTTTACAGATCCCTATTAGATGATTGGGTATGATATCTATGCATGCATTTGTTATGTGTATAACTAAGCTAATAAAAGAGCCCTTCAACGCAGTGATCACAACAGCCAGCAATCATATTTTACTGATCTGACTCACGAAAACTGAAATCCGTATGTGATGGATTACTGCGAACAGAAGAGCACCTCCCCCGTCATCTATATCAATTACCAGATCGCCGAAGTCAGGAGGAATGTAAAGATGAGATTTCATCTGCTTACAGATCTCCTGATTCCTTCTTTCCACCCTCATCAGTATGTTAAAAACATTTTAAAATAAAACTTTTACATTTTCATGACACACATTTATTTTTAGTCTCAGCGACGTCACCCCCAGGGTTTCTCTGCTTTTCTATGCAATGCAGGCAGATTACAGCTGGTGGGAGGGGCCAGCAAATAACTTCCAGAAAACCTCACAGCACCCCGCGTCAGTACTCCTCTCAAGAGCCCTCAGTTCTGATGCAAGCAGTGGACTGGCTCTTGGACGAGTTATGCAAATATTAAACATCTCTCTCTCTCTCTCTCTATATATATTATTTATTTCAATGTTCAATGGTGTGATTTCCCCATAGTAGATGTGTCTCCTCTCCTACAACGGGTAAATTGCCATAAAGTAGACAAGTCTCCTCCTGTTTAGCGAGATGTGATTCTTCTCCTACAACGGTGTGATTTCCCTATAGTAGATATGTCTCTTCTACA